GCACTATGATTTACAATGTAAAAGGTAACACAAAAGCACATTCCTGCCAGGTATGACACAAAGCCAAATGTTCCTCTCCAAAACACATTGTATTACATAATCAGTTATTACATTTTGTCCAGATGCTTATTCACAATGTAGCTATGTTTCTACATCTAAATATAAGTGGAAAAATGGTGTCAATGTTTGGGGAAAAAAAAGTCTACTGTTGCCAGTACATACTTTTATTTTACCATTCCTTGGCATAGTAAAAGTTTACTAAGGATCTACTTTCACATGAGGCATTTCCATTCAGTAAAAGCAGAGAAAGACTGGCGTTCTGAGCACAGCATCAAATTCTCTTTGAAACATACATACTGTATCTCTAGTAGTTCTTAGTCATTAAAATGTCCCTGGGAAATGTATGGGCAAGAAAAATATGAAAAAATTTCTAAAACTATAATTCAACATTAGCATTTCTACCAAATGCTCTTCTAGTAGTCATTAACCCTGTTTGGATTTCTACTTCTCTGAAACAGACACAAAGCTGGCTCATAATCACTTATCAAACCCTTAAAGGCCAGATATTTCTCCAAATTATAATTTTTTAGATTTTAGAAATGTAACATTAACACTCCAACCCACACCCGTGCTCTAGGTAGCACCTGCAGTCAAAACAATTTCTATATCAAAATGTTGTAAATTAGAGTAAGAGGGATAATTCCTGTTGAAATTTGCCACGTTACAAAAAAAAAAATCAGTTTTAGAACCTTTTGGATAAACCACCTCATCTAATTCCCATAATTATGATGGTATTAAAACTAGAGAATTCCTACTCCATATTAAGCCCTGGACCAGGCATCAGGAGTCAAAAGATGGTGGGGGAAAAAAAAAAACCAGACTCTAACTTTAAAAAGGCCAAACCTACAGTAATAGGAGCTCATGGTTATGTAGTAGAAAATATGTATTAACTTATAAATACAAATTAAAAATATCTCCTTCAACTTAGTGATTATAGCCATACAAAATACAGTAAGAAATACAGGTCTAAACACTGCCAAAAGCAAAGGAGGGTATTAACTGCTCTATTACTAAAATTCTTCCATTACTTCAATACTAACCCTACACTGTTCTCTAAGAAGCTAATTACCTATTGCCCCATAGGTAATTAAGAAACAAAACTGTAAAAAAGGATTCAGAAAGTGAAGGAATAAAGAACAACCTTATCCCCACATTTTCAAATTTGTTGCTTCTGATTGTGGATTGGGAAGCAGAACACACTGACTGCATTGTGTCAAATGACAGTCTGGCAATATCTCTGTACTTACTGAGAACCTACTAAGTACTATGCACAATAGAAGACACTATGACTGTTAAATATATACAAGATAGAGCTTTTTCAGGTGCTCACAGTCCAGAAGAGGTTATGGTGGAGGATATGAATGGACATGAATATACTGAAGTTTCTAGAAAAGAAAAAAAAAACAAAAAAACTTTTTTTCTAGATAAATTTTATGTTTCAATATTATATAAGCCATGAGTTCTTACCAAAAAAATTGTAAACCATTATACTATTGCATAATGCAGCAATCCCCAAGTGGTATGTCAAGAGATTTGCAACTGCATTTCAGAAAACAAGCTGTCACAAAACAATAAAAATTCTACTTGCAGGTCATGTCTACTAGTCATAATGTATAAGTTTGTCTAATAGTACATAAATGAATAAGCCTTATCAGCATAATTTATCATAAGACAAATTTTAAAGCTGAAATCAAAAGATGTCAAAAATTAGAAAAGAATAAATTATATACTATTTAAACTGAAAAAGGGTTCAACTAATAGAGCCAAGATACAAAATATAAACAATTTTTAAGAGTTAAAACTTTATACTTCTTTTCAAACACAAACTTTCTACAACAGAAATCAACTTTAGCATAGCTCTTGGCAAAATACACAGTCCTGTATATGTCACAATGAAATTCAATTCCTTTCAGTATCACAGGTAGGAATCATCTTTGGTAACAAAGAACAGTAACCTGTGTCAACAACCAGAAAGGCTCCTATCACAGCACTAGATCCCTTCATCAATACTGTATGTAATCCCAAACATCACAGTACAATTCAGATTAATTCTGCCTCTAGAATGCCCTATCTGGTACCCTGGCTTCTTCTACCTCTTTACAAAATCTCATGCTACAAAATCCACTAGCAGTATAGGTTAACAAAGTAAGTATTCAGTGGTATCTTTTCCTAAGACTGCATAAATTGTCCTCAAGTGTCTAAGCAAGCATATGATATCAAGAATTTGCTTTTAAATGTGAATGGAAAAGAGTGAATTTTCCACGGATAAAAAATTGTAATTAAAAATACTATTATTGTTCAACATTGCTTTTCAAGAGCAAAAGATGAATTGTAAACTTAGTTTAGTAACATCTCAATCTCAAATGTACACATGAAGTACATATTTTTATTTTCCTACATTATCAGAAAATCTTACGAAGCAAATCTGTCACTAAAAAGGCAAAATTATAACTTCTCATGGAGTGTGAAACATTCTGTAATCTTTCAAAGTACAAGTACTTTTAATATCAGGTATCTCTTCTACTAAAGAGATAAAAACTGGAACAACCAGGTTAGAAGAACTTCTAAAGGAATCTCATAAATCTGATGTACTTACTTTTGAATAAAAAACATTTTCAGGTTTTAACTATAATGCATCTTTGAATAATCAAAAATTATACTAAACATTCAAAATTACAAAGTGAAAACAAAAATTAGTTCTAGAGCAGTATATCATTCTGAATTTTATTAAGATTGGGTGTTTCTCAAATAAAGTGTATAAATTACTCACACATAAGTACTCTGACTTTTTTTCCATCATATTAGTTTATGTCAAAGTATTAAACTGAAAAATCTTAAAGGCTGTATTTATTACTTGTTTAAACCAACAGGCAATTCTCATTCTCTAGAATCAGATTATGCTACACTTAGAATGAAGTATACAAAGATGTCTCTATATTGTATTCTTAGAATGAAAGGCTTCTGCCAACAAATGTCTACATTTAAACTTATTTATATTGATAAAGCACTAAGTAGGACATAAAAATGTGAAATACAGTTTATTTCCTGTTTAAATACAAAGTATTCAAAGAAATCACTGGAATTCAAGTCTTTGGAAAAAATGAGAGAAAATATTTTAAAATTAAATGAGGATTCTGTAAAGTCAAGAAAGACTTGAATGGAATAAAAGGAATCTGTCTTTGTTCAGTTTATGTTGTATTTCTTTTCCCTCAAATTTAATACTACAAAAACACTACAAACTAGAGTGCAATATACCTTAATAATCTTGGTCCCTTAAGAAACATTTCAATGTAACAGGATCTGAATGTAGCCATTTAAACATTTGAGTGCAGACATTTAACCATTTCAGTCTACTGTGATTCTTAACCCTGCAAATGTGAGATAAAGTTACCTTCCAAAATTGCAAGAGATGCAGTCATTGATGTTTGGAAAAGAACTGTTGTCAAATATACAGAGCTGCCCCAAACTCAACACAAGGCTGGTATGTAAACAGGTATGTTCAAATCTCTCTCCCACCGCCAGCCCACACTTTATCTCCAAGTAACGCTGTTTTAAAAGGCAAATCAACAGTGACACTTAATGATTTCTGAGCTCTAGATTCCCAGTATCGAGGATGACAAGAAACGTGTTTAACTTTGAACACGGAATTCAATTATGGTTTCACTAGTCTATTAACTCAGTACAGTACTTCCTATTTTGTCAACAATCTAAGGTTTCATATCAGCGTGCTTAATTATTAGGAACTATCTAGATCATTAAGAATGAGTAGGGTTCTCTAAGGAAGAGTTTTATGAAAATATGTTGCACTTAGTCTTCCGGATGTTGAAAAGTAAGGATGTCTCCTAAGATTCAAAGGAAGTTGATGTTCAGGTCTCTTCCATGACAGTGGTGCGCCCATGTAACACTTTTGTGGTGGTAAAACTGTACCACATGGCCTAGAATAAAAGTAAGTTCTAAAATCTTAGAAATGTTTTTACAAAAGAAAACTACAATTTGCTTTCACTAAGGTCCACAGTTAACAAGAACTAGAAGCCTGCTCCTGAACATAACCAACAGTACCTCAAGAACCACAGGGGTTCTCTTTTTAGCCTACTCATTTCTTCCATGAAACTTTTTAAGTTAAACACAAGAGCAAAAGGAGGAGAGGCCCCACCGGAAGTAGAAACCTAGGGCTTGCAACTTCACAAACAGAGGTGTCTCGGGTTCCTCCGCCGCTCCAGGACCAAACGGACTGTCTCTACAACACTATAGCTTCACTCTCCAGGTGCAGTAAGAGAAGCAGCATCACAGTTGCACTCCAGCTCCCTTCACCATGCATCGCCCTCAGTATCCCTGGGCCTGGAGGCTCCTGAGACCCGTTATCCAGTTCAATATGCCCCATCTTATACACAAAAACAAAAACACGTAAGTGGAGAAAGATGAGAGTGTACTGAGAGACATCTGAAGAGCTGGGGACCAGCAGCTGCTGGGAAGGTGGCAGAGCAGACTAAAGGGGGCCCGGACGCCTTGGTCCCGCAGCTACCGCCTTGTCTTCTACCCCAGGAAGCAGCGCGGCAGCAGCGGCTAGTCCGCGCTGGCGGGAGCCCGGGGAAGAGGAGTCCGGGGAAAGCCCAGCTGCCCGCGGACTGGACCGGGCCTAAGATCTAGAGCTGCCGCTGCAGCGGCCAGAGCACAGCGACGCTTTACGTCCACCGCCCCCCCCATACACACCCCCCTCCCTCCACCGCCGCCACCCCCCTCCCCGCCCGCTCCGCTCTCCCTTTCTCGATTGGAGCCGAGACAAAAGCAACGGGAAGCGGTGGGCCGGGGCGCTACCCGCGGACCCCGGGCGCGACTGGCCCGGCCTCGAGACATTCCCCTGCCTTGCGGGGGCCCCGAATCCGCCGCCCCCGCCGCACGCCCCGCTGCCAGACTTCCGAAAATTTGCCAAAAACTCACCGCATGAATTTTCTTGTCCCGCGGATCCAAGATGGCGACGTATCCACCGCGGAGGCTGCTGGGAGCAAGACCTTTACCCCCTGACCCCCGCCGTGACCCCCGTCGCTCTGGCTTCCCTTAAGGCGGCAGTGGAAGGTGGGTGCGGCGATTGCGGATCGAACACAGGGCTGGGGGTGAGTAGACTGCTTTCGCGCTCTTGTAAGCAGGTAAGGAGAGGCGCTTCACTCTCCCACCACCCTCACCGCGGCTGCACCGTGTCTCTTACCGGTTCACAAGAAGCCGTGTGGCTCACTGCGGCTGTTACCCAAGCTGGGCCTTTGCATCCCAGGCCTTGGGTCGGAGGGGGCCGCGGGGCGAGGAATGGTAAAGTAGCGTCGGCTTGGAGGTGTTTGTGTTTGAGGACGCCCCGCTCCCGGGTCCCCACGGAGCTGGTCTCTTCCTAACTCCTACCTTGAGCAGACTGGATCGTTGTCTCTTCCTCCCGCAGATCCTGCATCCTCCGGTGCCGTGTCTGTACTTCAGGAGACCCGCAACACGTCACCGTCGCCTTCTGAGAAGTGAGTTTCCCTCTGCCGAGATCATTGGTGCCTACTTGCTCCCCCTTCCTTTTATTTTTTATTTTAACCTGGTAGTAGGAAGTATTAAGGGAGCAGGTTTTTAACACACTGTGGTGCGAACTGACTTCAGCCGAATCACCTTTACAGCAGTTTGCCTAGCTCCCACCCCCAGTCTCCTGTTAAGCCTGAGTTACCCGCTGTGCCACCAGAGATCGTTTGAAATTGTGATGACTTTGGTGGAAACTTGGAGTGGAGAAGGAGTGAAGTCTGCTTTCCACGAACGTACCTGTCATTGAAAGTGAAACGAAACTTGTTTTCTTTGCGGTAATCTCCCTTTATTCTTTTTGTGTATGTAAACTTTTCTTTTTATAATTATACAAGATATTTTGACTGAGAAGAAATCCTCTACATATGTGTTTTGGAATTGTGTAGTTGAACGTGAAAACTATTTTCTATTTCATTGATAGAATTTAGTAATGTAAAATATAATTGATTTAAAAGTAAATAAAACTTATGCGTTCCTTTTTTTAAAAAATCACCTTTTCTTCCATAAAAAAATCATTTAATCCACTTTAAATTTATCACTGAAAGCCAAAGGCAAGAAACAGCAGTTACAATGAGCTTACTCTGAAATAAAAGGTTTGTCATGTTTTGAATACAAGGTACTTTACCTATTAGTAGATGTATAAATTCATTTAAATTCCAAAGGGTGCTGGTGTGGCCAGTAGAAAATGTATTGCATCGTTATTCATTTCATTAAACATTCTCCTTCACTGTTCAACTTTAAGGAATTTCACAGGGTAATAAAACATTTCTTTGTCTTTTTCTCCCTTTCTCCTTCTTCCCCGAAAGGTGTCTTCTTTCCTGCTCCTTCCTGCCTCTTCTGCTTTCTCTTCCTTTCGTGTTAACATCCCATATAAAGTAGTATGTTAAAAGATTGGCTATGTCTCTGTATATAATACATACAGTACATGAATATATGCAATATAAATACATATTACTGAGCCTTTAGCCTAGCTATTAATAATTTGAAAGTATAACTATTCATGATTAATTAATTGATAAGATGGAATGATAAAAATAGCATACAACTATGTTACATTAAATATCACTTAAACCATTTTTATCTGTTTGACTTATACGTAGGACTTTGTCCAGGCCAAAAAATAGATTATTCTTATTATCCCTGTATTTACTTAAAAAGCACAAATTTTAAATAGCATGAACATGAAAAAATTAGAAAAATCACTCCTATGGAGACAGATCTAATGTAAGAGTTTTATTACTTTGGGTTTTTACTGGAAGAGGTAGAACAAAAAACATTTTCATAATGAATGTGTAGGGTAGAGGTAGAAAAAATATATTGATACTATTGTTTTCTTTTGGCAGATTTTTTTACTGGAAAATATTACATACTGATTATGTATTTGTGTGTTTTTGAAATATATGTTAAATTTTTTGGAGTACCTCACAGAAAAATTACTTAGATTGAAAAAAAGTATTTTATTAAGGGAAGAATGAGTTTGTATACAATTTATAGAAGACATAAGATTCTTAAATTTTGAGTAGTGATATTATAAAAGTTTAATAGTAACCCCAACTTAGAGTGACAAAATATGTTGCACATAAGTGTAGTCTTCGGGAGTTATTTTTACAAGTGATTATTTCTTGATAGTACTGGCAGAAGTTCAGAGAAACAAGAGTAAGTTTCTAGAGTGCAGTTTGTCAGTATGTTTCAAAACCTGAGCCTGTGCTTTTGTCCCAGCAATTCTTCTAGAAACTGTATCATAAGGAAATGAAGATGTGTGTAATAGTCTGATTGCAAGAGTAATCTTTACTACATTATTTGTTAGATTAAGCAACATATATACTATAAAGAGTACTCAGCCATTAAAAATAATGTAGAGGAAATCTTACTGAGGTGATTGATAGTTGAGTACAAAAACATTTTAAAATATAATTCCAATTTAAAAAATTTTTTAAACTTACCTAGCAAGATATGCACAAGCTATGAAGTTAACCTTGCAGAAGTAGCTATCGTGGTTAATTTTTTTTTCATTATTTTCATCTTTTTATAAGTTTTCATAAAGTTTTTTTGATAATACTACTTTAAAAGGCTACTTTTACCTGGAAAACAAAGCCACATACCCACTTAACAGACCTCAAACTTTTTTCTTTTCTACATTTCTTAACTAAGCACCAATTCCTGTATATTTTACCAAATATGCCTAGGATTTGTTCTTCTCTCTCCATTCCTATGAGCCATTCATTGAATTTTAACTTTATAATTCTCCATCTGAAGTTTTGAAAGAGGATTTTAAAAACTATCTTAGTCGTGTTTTTGTCACTGGCACACAGTACCTGACATCTACAACTTAAAAGAGGAAAGCCATGTTTTGGCTAACGGTTTGTAGAGGTTTCAGTCCATAGTTGGCTGGCTCCATGGCAAGGCAGCGTGGCAGAGAGGAAGGGCAGAGAAACCAGTCATGCATGGTGGCAGGAAGCAGAGAGAAATTAAGGGCGGAGGGAGGGAGATAGACCCTTCCAGGCCACACCTGCAGTGACCCATGTCCTCCAACCAGGCTTCACCTGCGTAAAACCCCACCTTGAGTGCATGAGGCTTAGGGGGACATTCTTTTTTTTTTGGTACCAGAGATCCAGCTCAGGACCTTGCTCTTGGGAGGCAGGCGGCAGCACCACTAAGCTAAATCCCTGGCCCAGGGGAACATTCTGATCCAAACTATAATGCTGCATTAAGTTTTACCTCTAGTCTTCCAAACTATCACCAGATAATGCTTTCTACTGTGTAAGTCTTAGGAAATTTACCCACTATGTAAAATCTTTGTAATGATGCCTGTTGCCTACAAGATAAAAATACAAACTCCTTTCCATGAGCAAAATGATTTAATTAGAAAAAAATATAAATAAGAAATAGTTATAGCAGCAACAGCAGTAGACTTAGAGTTCAATGCATGCGAAGCATTTAAAAAATATCTTTATAAAAAAAATTTTTATAATAACTGATGAAATTCTTTAATGTCTACTTATGAGGTAGGAAATGCTAATATATATGTATGTTTAGAGGCTATATTTTTTACTGGTTTAGATAGAGAAGTTGAGAGAAAGCTTGTGTATCAGGAACAGCTTCACTGAGTGGCTGATTGTTCCATGGGGAATGGCGTGTAATTTGGATTGATAAAAGGGACAATTTTAGTGAAGGGAGTATCAAGCAAAGGCAGATAGTTTGCTAGGATACAAACATACACTGGGTCACTTAAAAATTTCCTCAGTTCTGGGGGTTAGAAGGCTAACACAGGTACCTATTTTCCCATGTCTTCACATGGTGTCCTAACTCATTTATTTGTTTATTTTATTTATTTATTTATTTTTTTGGTACCAGGGATCGAACTTGGGACCTTGCGCTTGAGCGGCAGCGCCAGAACCACTGAGCTAAATCCCCGGCCCTTGTTTATTTTTGTGTATTGAACTCAAGGCTTCTGCACTGAGCTACAGCCCAGTCCTTACTTTGTTTTTGTGTTTGTTTGTTTTTGTTTTTGAGATAGTCACTAAGTTGCCTATCCTGGGCTAGAACTTTCAGTTGTCCAACCTTCACCTACAAATTGAGATTATAGGTATATGCCCCCCATGCCTGGCTTCCTTACTCCTTCTGAGGACACTAGTCATTGAATTTCAGATCACTCAGTAACTTTATTTTACCTTAATTTTTACAAGCCCTATCTCCAAATATGGTCACACTGTGAGTACTAGAGATTAGAATTTCAACATACAAATTTGGGAGGTAGGAGCTACAATTCAGCCCATAACAGAGGTATAGGCCTAAATGAGTATAAGCCAGTGACCAGAATCAGAAGGGACTGATTGGATTTACATAGGGTAGGGTGTCAGAACTTTGGAGTGTGTTAAATGCCAGGCAGAGGAATTGACCTGATGGTTTTAAATAAGTCACTCCTAATTCAATCCATTCCCAGTGTTTAGCGCCCTAAGAGGGTGAAAAATCACATTAGAATAGTTAGTACCACATGTCTACACTTTGTATCATATCTAATCCTGTCACCTGACACATGTTCTTATCCTGCCAAAATAATTACTTTAGACATATATCTACAAATCATTTCAAAATTAAAATGCCATGTAAGTTTTTAACCATCTAAATCAATTTAATGTAATAAAATATTTCCCCATATCATGTAGAAGTAACAACAAAATACTTATACTCAGCTTTCTCAACTACCTCATTTAGATGAATGTTTAAATACATGAAAAAGATGTTTTCTCTGTCAGAATACCAACATCTATATTACGTTATCTTTCATTTAAAAAATAATAAAATTACCTCCCCCGAAAGATTATCAGAAAACTATGTAACAGTAAATCAATATAAAATTAACATATACTCATCTAGTATATATTTGCTGGCAATGAAAAGTTGACATCTGTTAAGTACTAAAATACTAAATACTAAAATAATGAAAATTACTTTTTCATATATATAGGAGGTCAATATAAGACTTATCTGTGCCTCTTGAATTGTAATGACTAGTGATGATCATTAAAATGCTAAATATTAACCTATTTTTTTTAAAAGTAGCTTACTCTTAAAGCAAAAATACGTTCAGTATAAATGAAAATGAAATGAAGTAATGATTATGAAGTTTATGTAATCCCAAGAAAATCTCTGACTTGGAAGAGGCAATCTAAAAATCCTTTACTTAAGATTGGTTTCATTTCATAACTCATGCTCTCAGGAACTATTTTTGTGTTTAACCTAAAATTTTCATATTGCTATTTTTGGCAATTTGTTTCAAAAAGGAACCCCCCGTTGATTATCTGGTTAAACATGAATAGTTAGGTTAGTACTGAATGAAGATATAGCATGTACAGGTACAAATTCCCTATGATGAATGTGATCATTATGTAGACCTCAAATGTACTAATAAACTTAATTAGAAAAAAAAAATGTATTGGAAATTTTGTGTGAGGACACAGACGATACCAGGTTCATTTATTTATTTTTTATTTTTGTTACCAGGGATCGAACTCAGGTCCTTGCGCTTGCAAGGCAAGTGACTGAACCACTGAGCTAAATCCCTGGTCCTGATACCAGTTTCATTTAAACAAAATAGTCATGATCACAAATCTGTGCAGTAAAAGACAAATGTTTCACTAAGTTGCCAAGATGCCTTAAGTTGCTATGGTTTAAGAAAAGTCAGCAACAGGTTAAGAATGCTAGCAGTCAACTCTGCAATCATTCAAAATAAAGCATTTAGCTTGCTTTCCCAATCTGTAACAAATTCAGTAGAACA